GTTCCGCAGACACCGTTCCATAGGCTTCATTCACTTGTGCAATGACCTTTTCCTTCCACTCCGTTCTTTCGTCCCCCTCCACGTTGATTCTCCCCTGCCCATCCCAGATGGTTTGCATAGTGCCACCAAGCTTGTTCAAGAAGGAACCTATGCCACCTTCTCCCCCGCCATACTGATAGCTCTCAAACACACCGTTTCCAGCCCATCTTGGTCCCAAACTAGCCATCAGTATCGTGTCCAAGTCCTTTGCATCTACGACATCTTCCTGAACCAGATAACAAGCTTCCCGTAGTAGGGCGAAGGCTAACCGATTGCCCACAAACCCTGGAATCTCTTTTTGAATGACCACGGGCCTATGTCTCGACCCAGGTAGGGAGAAGTATTCACGAGCAAATTCCACCCGCTCAGCGGAAGTTTCTGGCGCCGGTACGATTTCGAGAAGAGGCATTATATTCGGTGGGTTGAAAGGATGCACAACAAGCAAGCGAGATTTGTCCTGCATCTTGGCTTGCTGAATAGAAGCAGCAATTCCAGAAGTGCTTGTCCAGAAATGCGCAGAAAAAGGGGCTACTGCTTCGATCCGGGTCCAGGTAGTTTGTTTCCAGTCAACATTTTCCGGTCCTTGCTCCTGGATAATGGTCGCCGACGCGCATGCGCTTTCTAGGGTCGAGTGAATTCGCAGACGGCCAGAAGAGACAAGAGACGCTACCAATGACGTTGATGGTTGAGATTCAGGACTTGACCTAGGGTCGGTATTTGGTGATGGCAGCTCGCTCATGTAGATCGGTAGCGTCTTATGGATATATTCCTCGAAATCCGGTCTGGTATCGAAGACATCAACTGTGTTGCTCTCACGGGAGAGATGAAGCGCTGCCATGGATATGCCGATGGTTCCCAGACCGATCAAGGCTATCCGCTGTGAGCTGTACACTGACATGTTGATGGTGCCAAAGATTTGAACGATCTTATTGGAGCTGTGAATTTGCGTTTAGATGACTGTGTAGAGAGCCAATGGCATCAACTGGGCAAGTTGTATGACAGTCTGGGGTTTGGGTTTATCGCAGCAGCAGTGTAATCAATTGCGGGGTGCCAGACATAACTTGCCCCGCCATTGTAGTTCTTAAGAACTACTACTACTAACAAATCAATGAGTCGTCTAGTATTGGGCCGGGGACCTGGAGCCGAGGCACAGCACCTGATTTTCGGACCACCGATACTCTACCTCCTGGAGTACAGAGTCTTGACTTCGTGCTCAAATGAATCCATTTTCAAATAGTTCTCGAAGATTCATGTATGCGAGGTTAGTAGGTTAATCCCTACGTCGACGTCATATGAGGCTGCCAGTTTGGATCTACTTTGTCGCAGCCATTCATAGGAAGCCAGCACAACTACTGTGAAACTCATGCTAAGAATTGAAGGATTGAAGTGTCTCCATGCATACCTAATGGGATTTCTTTTCTTTTTTTTTTTTTTTTTTGTTTTTTTTTTTTTTTTTTGTGGCAGAGCTCTTTGTCTCACTATCCTCTCATCTGACAGACTGCGGAGGACTCCTACCGGCGCTAAACCTAAAACGGTTATAGCTAGCTAGCTCCGCGCAACGCGAGATTCGAAAGAGCAACACGCGCCATCTTCCAGGCAATCAATTAAAGCTCCTGCGCTCTCCCACTCAGCCATCTCTAACCCAAGTCTCTGCTACAGTAGTTGGCTCTCCACTCGGCAACTGGCACAATGAGTGAAGGCGACTGTAATCATCCCCCTTTCTCACTCCATTGTCCTCATATTCCATGTTGCGAGTCGGCTGACTGAATTGGCCTCACTTAGGGACTTGCGACGCCAACGACGCCGTCCATCTGACGATCGTCCAACCCGGCGAGACGAAAGTCAAGACGATTTCCAGCTTTCACCCTCAGTTCACATATCCCATCTTCGGCGATGAGGAGCAAATATTCGGCTATAAAGGGTTGATTATCCGCTTGCGGTTTGCAGCCCATGACCTCCGCCCGAATATCAATATCTCTTACGATGAGAAGTTCAAGCCCGTTGGCGATATTGCCGCTGTCGACCTGCTGGAAACATTGAAACCCTGGGTTCCGGAAGGTTGGTCGCTGTCTGTTCCAGACAAGAATAACCTCTGTTCCCTTTTGGCTAACTCAGGCGCATAATTACAGAGGCCTTCGGTTTACTTCCCGACTATGAGAAGGCTGTTCAGGAGGACGAAGATGCAAAGGACTTTGTACCGCCTGGCAAGCTTGTTCACAGCTATGTCACTCGAGACAGAAATTATGAAATTTGGGCCGGCTCTCTCGCTGATCCTCAAGTTCGACGACTACTGGACCGCGCGCAAATTTTTGTATCGCTGTTCATCGAAGCCGGTACACCTTTGGTCACGGATGATCCTGAATGGACACTTGAGAGATGGACAGTTTACTTTGTGTATGCTTCATCCCGTCCCCTGTTTTTCTATAGCTAACGAAGTTGAAGCTATGAGAAAGTGAAACCGCCTACGCCAACAGCTTCCCAGTACTCCATTGTCGGATATGCGACCACTTATCGCTGGTGGTTCTACCAGCGAGACAATACACAGAGTCGGACAGTTGTGAACGATCCATTCCCAGCACCCGAGATCAGACCTGCTCAGCTGCCGGCTCGGCTGCGAATCGCTCAATTCTTGGTTCTGCCTCCTCACCAAGGCTCGGGACATGGGACTCATCTCTACACCACCATCCACGCCGCATGCTTCAAGGACCCAACAATCACCGAGTTGACTGTCGAAGACCCAAACGAGGCTTTCGATGCCCTCCGCGACACTGCAGACTACCACATCTTGTTGCCGGAGTTCCTCGGGCACAAGGTAGACATCAATCCCAACCCTTACGGAGAGCTCTCAAAGAGGCAGCGCCCTCGACGCGTCCCAACATCGGCACTGATCCCTACGAAGTTGTTGCATGACATCCGTTCAAAATTCAAGATTGCCTCCACTCAATTTGCTCACATTATGGAGATGTATCTTCTGGGGCAAATACCTGCCAAGAATCGCCTAGCCGGGGGAGCCAATATGTCCCGACTACTAATCAAGAAGCACAATGCCGAGGATCCCAACGACCGCCGATACTACTGGTGGCGCATGCTCACTAAGCAGCGTCTCTACAAGCGTCATCGGGATCTACTCATCCAACTGGACTCGAGCGAGCGCGTCGAGAAGCTGGAGGAGACCGTGACGAATGTCGAGGAGGGCTATGATGCTCTTCTCAAGGCCTTCAACGCCCGCGAGGAAGCACTGAAGGCCAAGGAAGAGGAGGCCGGTGTGCTTGCTACCCCAGAGTCGACCGCTGTCCTGGGTGATGCAAGCAGCAGAGATCAGCGGGTAAAGCGAAAGCTCACAGTGGAAGATGAAGAAGATGAAGCCGAGAACGAAGAAGCAGCCAAGCGGACAAAGGTGTGAGCGATGCGTCTAATGTTTCTATATGCATGCCGTTCACCCACCATTTCATTGTAATATTAAACATTATGAAATACCAAAACCACCCTTTTGCCATGAGTCATAACCATATCCTGAACTCCCATACTCCACGATTAGTATTATTACACATGAAGCCATAGTCCCTCATGAATGATAGCTGGGCGGCGGTGACCCCATACTATCCAGGGTATCTATTGTCCCCGACAACGACTTACAATCCACACTCTTCAAGCTACTCGTCCCCGTCGACAAAGTAACGGTCGCCAACCCGACCGTCGACGACGCCTCCGTATCCGACTCCTCTCCACTTCCACCCTTCCCATTCACACCCACTTCCACATCATAAACACCCACATCCTGATCCACTGCCAACTTGGCCCGCGGCGGTGCACTTTCCCTCACCAACTCGCCCACATACTCCAACGCCTGTCTGAAACCATGTATCTCCGCCTGCATAGTAACAGGAACAGGAGCATCGGCCCCAGCAAACACACCCTCACCCTCATCATCAGACAACCTTCCCATCTCCACATCCCTTTCCCGCACACCAACAGACCCCATCACGATCGCCCCACCATCATCATAGCTATACCCCTGATCCTGGCACTGATACTGATAGTAAGAAGTTTTCCCTTCCCACCATTGCTTCCATCGATGTCTCCTCGCAGCGGCTTTGTACGCCCTCCGAGCTTTCCGCTCCTCGCGCTGGGCAGCCCGGTCTACTCGGCATCGCTGGCAGCGCATTGTGTTGCTGCCAATTCGGTATGCCAGAGCGCAAAGCGCAATAATGCAGATGAGGACACTCAGGTTGATGAAGTAGTCGCGGAGAGTTAGGGCCGAGAGCTTTTTCAGGAGGGAGGCAAGCCACTGGAATTCGAGGAGGGTGTGGATGTGGTCATTGTGATTGGGGTTGTCGTTGTTGGTGTTCTTCATGATGTGGGTGTCTATAAGGGTTGTTTAGAATGTGGGATATGGTAGATAGTAGTGAGCGGGGGACTAACCGGCTGCTGTTGAGATTGTAGTGAATGATGGTGATGGTAGAGGAATGGGTGCACCGGCTGCCAGACAGGTGAAGTTGGTAGTGGTTAGACATATTAGTGTCAACTTTGTTAGTAGCCATTGCATGGTGGTGGTTTTGTGGGAGGTGCTACATGGACGGGGGAAGAGAGACATGGGATGGAGGGTATTATAGGTTCATGTAGTTGGTGCAGTTGGGGTGGATTGTAGAGAGTGAGATAGTGGTCATGTAGTAATTGATTGGTAAATAGATACAAACGATGTTGTATTCATGAGCAAACTATCTAGGACAGAGAGTGAGAGTCATACGGGCTTTAGGACAGAGTTAAATGAACGGACATCCTTGGCCCTCGGGCCTCCTCTCCCAAGACCGGAGACAGACGGAGTTTACTAAAGAACCCTGTCTCATTAATTAGTGAGTATTATAGCCAGACACTAACCACAGTCACAACTCTAAAGTAGGGCACATTACTTCGCTCTTACTGGTGCCAAACCAGATAAGCAGCAGCGCCCGGCGGATCTCGGCCTCATGTTTATCCGGCACTCTCCGTCGTTGCGAGCACCGCTGCTGGGAAGCTCGCGGGGAGCTTTCTTGGATTCATACTTACTCTGACGTCGCCAAGAAGGCTTCTATTTCCCTTTGAACTCCCTCTTTCCCTTTGAGAGAATACGGCGACTCTATTGGAGTCTTTTCATATCTTGCTTTTCACCTCTCACGGAGTTGACTCCATCTGTGTTTCGATCCGCCCACAACGTCGATCCGTCCATATTGATCACAAGATCGCAAGATGGTAATCACCTTTGAAGCCTACCGAAAACCATTATATATGCTATAGTTACTGATTCTCCGATGAACAGTTACCTCTCGGTCTCCTGACGGCCGCGCAAGGCCACCCCATGCTCGTGGAACTCAAGAACGGCGAAACCCTCAACGGACACCTTGCCAATTGCGACAACTGGATGAACTTGATACTCAAGGAAGTTGTTCAGACGAGCCCCGAAGGTGATCGCTTCTTCCGGCTACCGGAGGTCTACGTCAGAGGAAACAATGTGAGTCGCTTGCCTGCATCCACCCTGGATGCAAGTTAATGCAATCCCTCCGTTCTTCCCGTCTAATCGCTTATAGATCAAATACCTGCGAATCCCCGAAGAAATCATAGAGATGGTGAAGGAGCAACAGGCGAACCAATCGCAAAATCGCAACCGCGGGCCGCGTGAGGGTGGTCGGGGTGACCGAGGTCGTGGTGGAGGCCGGGGTCGTGGACGTGGCCGCGGCCGTGGTGGCAGAGACGCTTGAAGTGTTATTGGTTTTTTTTTATCTACGAAAGAATGAGAGAGATTATGAGCGATACCCCGGGGGGCAAGGTTTAGTAGGGATTGAGTTCGCTAGGAAATGTCCGTTTTGACGGGTTAGTCGAGCATGGCCTTGGCGTATCTGGTTGTATTTGTCAATGGGAAAACATGCCACCTAGGCGTCCTTCTTTCTTCCAATACATTGTAGTGTACGGATTATTCAAAAAGTCAAAATTCGTTGAGCCTTGTCCGTGGGCTTCGTCTCTGTAACTTTGCATGCATAGCGTCACGGTCACGTGCAGATATAGAGCTTCTTTCGGAGACCGACCAAATTGTAGAGAATCTTCCGTCATTGCAAGGGCTCGAGATGCCGCGAACGACCCTGGTACTCGATGGACTGTGGTATTGCCTTTGTCCGTCATTTAACGCTGCGACCTTCAATCGAGCTACACCTTCCTTTACAGCAGGGAGACGCATCCCTAAACATAATCGCATAACCGCTCTACGAAGCTCAATCTCGGATCCTCCGCGAAGATGCCTCACCAATCTTACCCCACGACCGACCGACGCAGCCATTGAAATTGTCGAAGACAATAGACATACTTTTACTAATAGCTCATCATCCTCCGATCAACAACCCTTCGATCCTGACGATGCAGGCGCGCAGGACAATGTACGCCCAGGGAACCTTTTATCGCCAATGGAGCGATTGACCAAGCCGCCACCGGGTGTACCCAAGTATTTCAAACACCTACCTTCGCAACGTCTAGAAAATAGGCTACAAGAGCGAGTAGCTCGATATCCGAGAGTTCTAAGTGCAACGCAAATCCTGCGTGTTCTAATCCGAGACCGCCATGTCCGCCCGGAGATGCGACATTACCGGGGGTTGATTCTTGCTAATTCGGATCCCGAACGTGGGTCGCCACAGGCTGTTCGCGCATTACTAAAGGAGATGGAGGAAAATGGGATACCGGCTGATTCGGGGACACTTCATGCAGCGCTACAGGTATGATCTTCGAGTCTGGAAACGAGGCACTTGCTGACGTGCTCGCTCTTACTCTCAGGTCCTTGCGGTTCATCCGGATTACCTCCTACGTCAGGAGATTGTGCGCACGCTTCGAGATCGATGGCTTCCGTTGAGCCCCGCCGGATGGCACTTTGTGGTCGCTGGGTTGATTCGAGAGCACCAGTTCGAGCTGGCGTTGGATCATGTCGAGCAGATGGAGAGGAAGGGTATGGTCGTTGAGAATTGGCTGCATAGCCTACTTATATATTACCTTTGCGACTTTGGAGAGTTCGACGAGGTGGTTAGGCTGATGCGCTCACGGACAAGCCAGGGTCTAGACATGAGCTCGGAATTGTGGTTGTACGTGCTGGAGGTGGCGAGCGCTGCTCTGCACTACGATACTACACGGTACATCTGGAGACAGATGGTGGAGCTGAGATATCTTCATCCTGGTTATCCGCTGTGCAGCAATGTCCTTAGTGTGGCGGCGCGCGCTGGAGATACCGAGCTGGCGGCATCGGTGATCCGCTTCCTCGTCGAGGTCAATGTGCAGCCTCAATTGGATGATTACGAGAAAATGGTGGAGGCCCATGCTGTGTCGGGGTCTTTGTATTCTGCATTTGAGGTGCTGTGTAAGATGCATATGGCGGACATTGCGGTAGAGCACCGCTCCACGCGTGCCATTCTTACGCATCTGCTGCAGAGTAGAACGACCCCACGTGGCGCATGGACGATGCTCAAGCAATTAAAGGCCACCAAACTGACAGTGCCGCTTGGTTGCGCCAAAGTGGTGTTGGAGATGTGCGAGCACGAAGCCCTCGATAACCCGTCGGTGGTGTACGAGGGAATCGCGTTCTACAAAGAACTATATGCGCTCTGTCCAGACAAGGCCGACGTTTCCGTCTACAACATTCTCCTCGGGATGTGTCGGCGGGCGCGCAATACCGAGGCAGGCATGTTCATCGCGAAGGAGATGGCATCTCTCGGCGTGATCCCGGACCAAGGAACATTTGAGCATCTCATCGTCATGTGCCTGGAAGCAGGCAATTTCGAGTCCGGGTACATGTACTTGCAAGATCTGCTGGGACGGGGGATCCGCCCCGGCGAGGAGACACGAGCTGCCATCCGGGAGCTCTGTTCTCCATCAGAAGACCCATTCGCGTCGCGCCTCAGGCATCATCCGCAGATCCAGGATGGGTCGGTGGGATGTCTGGTGGACGAGATCAGTAATACTCACGAGCCGACCGATTCGACGGAGCAGCAGGAAGAGGAGGGGAACGGGAAGGAGGAGTCGTTTCATCGCTCGGGACAGACACCGACCCAGGCAGAGATGGAACGGCAGGCGTTGCATAAACTCCGACGGGCCGCAGCCAAGGAGAGACGCAAGCGAAAGAGACGACTAGCAGCCATCGCACAGGGGCAAGAAGAGGAAGGCTGGTTAGACTATGAGCCAGGGGGGCTTATTCCTGAAGACCAGCTCGATGCGAAGAGAAACAATTGAGCTGGGGGATAGAAATGGGCAGCTGGAAAGGGGGTGGTGTGTATCCTCCCTTTGTGTATACTACTACTGTATCTAGTGTAGAATCTTGGCCCCTATGCCAACAACCTAAGCGATGTATTTAATTTAACAGGACACAAGCTGACAGGCATCAATTGAGCTGTCAGGAGAAACACTTGTCCGTGATTACTTGTCAGACTGATGCCCGTGCTACCATGTAGTAAAATTAAATCACCACAAACGTGCACTGTTTCTGCCCGGGACATTCGGAGAAAAAGGAATGGGGTGGGTGGGGAGACAAGCAGCAGCCGAGGCCAGGAAGGATTCAAGCCACAGGAACCATCATGCATCAAGCAGAGTCGGGGGATAAGAATCGACAACCCGCAAAACTTAGATATTACTGCGTACTATCTACCCCTGCTCTATGTATAGTTAGTTTGAAATTTTTAGTTGGTTAGTGTGGACTAGGAACCCCCATCTGCGACACGCGGGCGCAACATAATGGAACCATGCCAGGAACCTCAAACCGCCGTTAGAATTCAATGCCCGGATTTTCAGCCCTGACCAGCGGTTTGAACTGGAGGGAAAAAAACCCGCATGGCTTTTCTTGTCCCACTTGTCGGAGAAATTTGTGGGTTTAATTCCTTTGTCGTGGGATATCGCCGAGGGGAGGTTCAGGTTACTCCTGAACTAGGTTAACTGTTGGTTCCTGGTTTGTTTGCTGTTGTACTGTGGGAGCCTGGGAGGGTTTCTATTCTTATCCGGGCTGCATGAGATTGGGATCGACTTGCATGGACCCTAGGAACTAACAGTACAGTAGTTTGGGATGTAAGGGAATGGATGTATGCATGAGTTGTCAATTGATTCTATCTTGGAAGTTCTTTTTTATCATCAGCCAGCACAGACAGCTTTCTTTTCTAATCTTCCTCGTGTAACCATTTGCAAATCCACGACAAACCTAGTTAAACTCTTCAGAACTTTTTTGGGTCAAAGGGATAATCATATGGAGAATAAGAGACACACCAACACACACCGATCCTTTTTTAGTTCAAGGGATCGTCGCAGTTGGGCCAATGCTGGTTCGTTTCACCCGCAGCTCCACTTCTTCTTACTCTCTCACTCCTCTCTCTCTCTCTTACTCTCTGTTGGGGTCGGAATCAGAAGCAGTTCGGAGTTGCGCTTGTTTCTGGTTCTCCTTGCCACCTGCACATCATCCCCGGCTTATTATAACTATTCGCCTCTGTCCTTCCCTCTTTCTCACTACAATCTACTATCTATCTACTATCTACTTTCCCCAATTTCTATACAAAAGTATTGTATCCTTCGAATCAGCTATTGATAATACTTAATTTCCTCCCTCTTATCTACTATCTCAATTACCAACTATCGTTCCACCCTCCAACGGTAGACATACATACATACACATCCTCCATTCGCCACTCGGATACTATACATCAAATCTTATTGTTACCCTCACCACACAAACAAAGGAAATATACTCTATCAACATGCAGCTCCTCAACTACCTCCCCGTTGCTCTCACCACCCTCGGCCTCACAGCCTCGGCTTCTCCTCTCCGCCGTGCCGACAGCCCAGCCCTAACCTGGCACGTCTCCAACTTCACCACTGGCTGCTCCCCGGCCGCCTGCACCTACACCTTCAACATTTACGGCGTCGCCACGGCCAACACTCCCGGTTTCAATGCCACTTGCACTGGTAACTCCAACAACACTGCCCTGACTGCCTGTGGTGGCAACCCTCAGGTCCAGTCCCGCATCCAGCCCGCTACCTACCCGGAATGGAACATCCGAGTCGAGCATGCCTGGACTCTGCCCGGCGACATGGAATTCTATGCTTATGGCGAGACCAATGTTACCTCGCCGACACCGAAGTTCACCATTCCTGTCACGGAGGAATATGGTGTTGCTTAAATGCGCCTATAGTGGAATTATTGGTGGAAAAGGAGGTTGGAAGTTAATGACTTGAGGTCATGAAATGGGGTTATTACAGTATAGATAATGAAGGGCGGAATGAGGACAAAATACTGGAAATATTCGCGTTTTAGTTTATGTATCATATTGATCCGGATTTGATGGGCTGGTTCTTGATGACTGTTTACAGTTTGGTTTTCGTTTGGTTTATGATGAATAGGGTTGAGGATCTATAATGTCTGGTTACAAGATGGTCTGGTCATGATGGTTGATTGCTTGATTGATTGATTGATTGATCTGGGAAAATACATCAATTAGTCTAGTCGGAATCTACAAATATACAAGTATAGTACCAACACCAACATACATCACAAGTTTATGTTCCTTGATACAAGATATTGGTTGTAGTCTGGGAGATGGGTTTGATGGGGTTGGAATGTGTCCCGGTGACATCATCCCGACCCTTGCAAATCAATGAATGGCCTTCTTACAATGTTTTCCCCGACAAGCTTGATCATGTAGCAGCTGCACTGCCTCTCTCTCCCCTGTCAATCACTCTCTGCTTGGCCTATCTCATCCCCATGTCAATTACATGGAATATATAACCTTGTTCAGGTCTCTCCAGTCTATCTGGACCATCCATTTTCCAAGAGAATCGCCAGGTTGACCCGTGCGTCATTCGCCTGGCCACCCTGTCTCCGCCACGATCCCCTCACGATTCAGGTCTGTCTTTCACCCCCTTGCATGTTCCTGAATATCCCCTGATCAGTTCGAGTAGAAATTCCACGTCGCTTGATGTTATGGTAAGCACTACTATTCTCCAGCCACTTCCTATCCTCATTAGTAGCTGACCATGTAATGACTGGAGCTACGTAGGCGTCGATCCTCCGGCAAATTGTTGCCGGCCCCCGGTTACAACATCCTGAAGCTGGTTTAGACTTGTGCTATGTGACCGATAACAGTAAAGCCACCAACCCTATCATTTTACTACTACTAACTCATTCCCTGCTCCTGCGCACTTTCAGTCATCGCAACCTCCGGGCCCTCCTCCAACTACCCGCAACGCGCCTACAGAAACCCCCTGGACGAGCTCGTCAAGTTCCTCGACTCGAAACATGACTCCGACTGGTGTATCTGGGAGTTTCGCGCTGAAGGCACCGGCTATCCCGACTCAGAGGTCTATAATCGCATCCATCATTACCCATGGCCCGATCACCATCCGCCCCCGTTTGCGCTTATCCCCGCCATGACGGGCAGTATGCGCAACTGGATCCATCGGCTCGATGAGCCTGGCACCAAGGAGATGAAGGATAAGAAGAAAGACAGAGTCGCTGTCGTCCATTGCAAGGCCGGAAAAGGCCGCAGTGGCACCGTGGCCTGCAGCTACCTGATTAGCCAGGAAGGGTGGAAGGCAGACGACGCACTGCAGCGATTTACCGAGCGGCGAATGCGAGTCGGGTTCGGGGCTGGCGTGAGTATCCCAAGTCAGCTGCGGTGGGTGGGATACGTGGATCAATGGACGAACCAGATGGGGAAGAAGTATATCGAGCGGCCGGTGGAGATCGTCGAGGTGCATGTGTGGGGCTGAGAGAGGGAGTCAAGGTCGCAGTAGAGGGGTTTGAGGACCAAGGGAAGAAGATCAAAAAGTATCATCTGTTCCATCGGAGTGAACGTACAGTGGTCGATGATGGGAAATCGAAGACGATGCCCTTAGACCCAGTCCCAAACGGACATGCCGATAACAACAAGAAGAAACAACCTCAATCCGCTGCGACATTTCCGCCTAGAACAGAAGACAGCCCTCACCCATCGACCGATTCCCCGCCAGAACAGACACCCCCCCGAGACACCTCTCCGCCATCGTCTTTCGTCCCAAGTCCCCCATCAGCATCCCCACCTCCGACGTGAACATCGACTTCGAAAGACGCAGCAAAGCCGCCTACACCGGCTGGGCCATGGTAACGTCCATCGCGCACGTCTGGTTCAATGCCTACTTCGAAGGCGGCGATCAGCATGACTCCGGCGTCTTCGAAGCCGAATGGGAGGCCCTCGACGGCATCAAAGGCACAACGCGCAAGGGCGTGAAAGCCTTAGACCGACTGAAAGTCGTCTGGCGATACGCCAACCAACCAGGCACCTCCCACCCCGACACAGGAAGACCCATCTCCGAGCCCAAGCCCGGTGAACCAATTCCCGAGACTCAGCCACCGGACTGGCACATCCATGGCACTGGCTCCAACTCTGGTACTGACACCCCACGAGACCAGGACGATGAGAACACACCGCCGCCTCCCCCATCTAAAGATCTAGAGGCCGACAAGGACCTCGAATCAGAACAAGACAGCAGCTCAACCAAACATAAACACAAAGACAAACATACTACTAACGAGCACGACCACCCCCTCCTCTCAGACCTCAGCACCGCTGCCGCCTCCGCCGTATCTTCAATACCAGGACTAGGCAAGCAGCTCGGTCTGCGCAAGCAAACCGACGAAAGTAAAGACGTGAGTCTTGCGGGCAGTAGCGAGGACGAGTCGGGGAGAAGTTCTGCTGCGCCTTTGCAGGCGAAGAAAGATACAAAGAAAGAGTGGTCTTCTGTTGACGAGGGTAAATAGCACGATGAATCTCTTGTGAGAGATTGGTCCAATGTATGTGTGAAGCAATCCTCTGATCTGTATTAACTGTTATATGTATAGGAGGGGGGTTTCGACTGGATTGGACTGGTCTGAGTTACGAGATTTTGTATATACTACATAGTACACGATACAGGTATACGAATACGAATGTACTGACAGCGAATGACCACCTGACTGATAGGAAGGTGCGCGTATCTGCCTGCTTAATTAATAATGTCTCCAGTTAAATCAGAACAGCTAAGAGTAGTAGGATTTACGGAGAACGTAAAGAGATGTAAGTAGGTATAACCATACCAATCGAAGTTATCATATCATAATCACACCATACTAGCATATCTAAAAGTAGATTATCTTCACACACACACACAAACAATGCTTTGCTTGAACAGTTGCTAGTAAAAGAAACGAAAATAGAAAAAAAGGAAGTGAAGACCCGCAAACCTCATTTCAACTCCAAATCTCCTCAATACATAAACCACTTACAACTCCACAGAATATGCCACATGCAATTCGTCAATAGTTGATCAATCCTACAGCGGCACGAACCCCTCCATCCGCTGCCTCGATTCCCGTTCTTCACGCTGTAACCGATCATTCTTCTTCCGCTCGTACACGGCCCGCACCACACGCTTAACTTGATCCTCACCCTGGGCGAAGTTCGCCTTCGCAAGACCGACCACTGAGTCGATTTGTTCGGGTGTGTAGACGAAGTTCCATGTGGAGAGGAAGTCGTCGACGTCTGGGTTGATGGTGCCTGGGTATGGAGTCAGAGGTTTAGCCGGGTCGGAGACGCGGGCTTTGGAAGTATTTTCGGATTTGCGGGCAGGAGTGCGGGACTTTTGAAGGGAGGAACTGGTGGGGAGCTCTGGGGCGGATGGATTGGGGAGTAAGGGGAAGTAGACGACGGCGATGCCTGCGTCTGGGCGCATGAGGTGGAAGTCGGATTCGGAGTGATCGGTGTCTTGTGGGTGGAAGAGGCGCTTGGATGGTGGGGGTTCTTGGCCCGACACCATTTCTTGGGTGGTGCCTACCCAGATGTTGCAGTAGTCGAGGTCGGTGGAGGTGGAGGGATGGTTTTTCGTTTTATTTTGTGCACTTGTGGGTGGGGTGGTGGTTGTGTTGTTTGAGGTAGTATTTTGGTTGGTGGTAGGGCTGTTGGGTTTGCTCTTGTCCTGGGCTTCGGCCATCTTGTTGGCTAGCTCTTTCTGGGAGATGTTCTGGGCCTGACGGAGCATTTCTTCGGTTTGTTTGAGTTGCTCGTCTTCCCTGGGCCATCCGGCGCCTATTGGCCAGCCCTTAACACCTCGTTGTCGAGCATATCCGTCTACAACGGAGAGCCAGTTCTCTTGTTTGATATCGGCTGATGCGTCGAAGGCGATGATGACGTCGACGTCTCTACCAGGTCTGAGGAGCGGGTAGATGGGGAGGTTGTTGCTCATGCCTGCGTCCATGAGCCGGAGATGACGGCTTCGGAAGATGGACTCTGGACAGGACGGTGGCAGCTGATCTTTCATGCCGAGTACATAGTTTGGTATGGTGGCTGGGTCAATCGGGTGAACTCGTACTAGATCCTTCGTCTTGCCTTGGATGAGGGAGTCTATGCCGCTGAGGCCTGTGATGCCTTTGATAACGGGCCGTATCTCCTTGTAGTAATGAGACAGTGTAGCACAGAAAGCACTTCCCCAGACACCCATCAATGCGGGAACGCGCAGCTCAGGAATGGGAGAGATCTCTTCAGGTTTAACATTGACTCCACCGTGGAAGTGTCTTCCCAGCGCCCATGTCGGTATTCCTGCACTGAGCTCCTCGCAGAAGAATTCGTAGGGTGTAAACTCGAACCACTGAAACCATGCCTCGTTTTTCGACTCTTTAATCAAATCTTCTGGCTTCTCTCGTTTCTCGGGGTTCTCTTGGTTCTCGAGCACAGGAATCTCATGGCGGACAGCCGTATAGATGGGAAGTGGATGAGCTCCGGAGGCGAGGTTATATCTCTGGTTCGATAGCTTCAGATCCCTATCACAGACGCCTAATTCTCCCTTGGGCACCAGCAACCGCGCAGCCAAGAGCATGCCGTATATATCCACCAAGCCAAAATCGGCACCGGGATCACCTTTCAGCTTTTCGACTAAGCCGCTGAGAAGATACTTGTTTGTGGGAGCATTGGTGAGTAGCTTGAGGGCTGCCGGTGGAAAGGCCAAATGGACTCCCAGTCTGTTTTTCAGATGGTCGACCATTTTGTTGAAATTGCGCCCCGTGATGGACGAGTGGTAGAGCGTCTGCAGCCAACAACTGCCACTTACGCCAGCAGTATAGGTAACACAATCCCATAGGCCAGCTTCTTGAGTCGCGAGGTACGAGCCGGTGCCAGCGACAAGCGCACGCAGACCGCCACCCGAGCCGCACATGGCAATGATGGGAACATCGTCCGGATGTATTTCATCTTCAGGGATGTCCAGATAAGAGGCCAGCGCCGCGGTTGCGTATTTTTGCCGCTTCTGTCTGTACGCCAATTCTTCGTTGCAGAGTGTATCCCCCACTCGAACTTTGGCCTTGCGGAGAATTTCTGGGTTGATGTCTGGGTCGTGAGCTTCGTGCCAGATATCGTCTGCAAGGGAGCCAGGCGCCATGGAGAGCTCGCGCTGGAGCTTCTGCACCGACAGTGGAAGCAATCGGGTCCAGTCTGGAATGATGTAGTTTTTGATGTTGTCGAGCTCAATCCAGTCGGGAGTGCCCACAGCCTGCTTCACCCCCTCGAACTTTTGCAGCACATTCGTCCATATCGAGCCTGCATCATGGTGCGGGTCTTCCTTGGAGCCATGACCCAACGGGTTCCAGTCGGAGCTTCCGGATGATTTATCCGACCGTTTATCAGAGCCCGGGTTTAAGCTTGTTGAGAAGAAGCCTTTTGGGCCGGTTTGCAGCAGCAATTGCTTATTTGACTGAGTTCGGCCACTTGTAGTATAGAGGAGACCGCCGCCTAAGGCAATCAAGAGGGTAGGAGGAACAGTCCAGCGTAAACGCAGTGCCTTGGCAGCCCCCATGTTGCAATGGGTACCGCGTAGGATTAGGGAAGTGGCGGGAAGCAACATGCAAGTGATGAAGCCATGGCGGCCAGGCCACGACGATCGTGGCCGGACTCCATTCTTAAAGCGAAGCTGGAGCTGGAAGACGCGCCGGGAATCTGCCGGAAACATGACGACATGTCACGTGGGGCGCATCCAGGAAATCCTCGGCGCCGCAGACGGGCCGAACTTACTGGATGGGGATTAGCGCCCCTCTTCTGTCCGGGGGAGATTGAAGGGCCACAAGCTTGCTTCTTGAGCTCCTCTCTCTCGCCTACTAGTATGCTTGCTTCATGAGGCCAGGTGCCTCATCGGCCAGCTGTTCTTTTTGCTGTCCTTCCCCTCTTTCTTCTCTTCTCTTGCCTGACCGCCAGGGTCAAAGACATGACATCATCTCCTTCCGTCGCGTGTGTCTGATTCCGGTTACGAATCCCTGATTGCCTGACACACTAGTGGGACCTGCGCCGATCGAGATCGAATCCTCACAGCCATGGTTGCTCCCAGGAACGCCGCCTACGCGGAGGAGAGCGCGGAGGTCGAGGTGCTATACGCCAACCTCGAGAAGCTCAAACTCCTTACGAAGAAGATTCAAGGCTCTTTGAATCGCTTGGAAACCGGGGGCAATGTGGTGAAGCATGCGATCGGGCCAATCTACAGCAATACCCAATCGCTACAGATCACCAACAGCAACATAGATAAGGTCAATGAAGCCATTGAACGCCTCCGCCAGCCTCTGGATGCCAAGGGCAAGGAAGAAGGAATTATACGATCAAGGTATGCAGCATCTTCGCGGGTTCGGGCTTATTCAGGGAATGTTTGACTTACATCCGTTCAGCCCCCAGACCGTCGGTTTGTCGCAATACCTATCTGCTGTGAAGCGCGTGGAAAAGGCCTTGGTCGACCTCAACTCAACCAATCTAAGATCGAACCAAAAAGCTATCTCCGAATTTACTTCTTTGCTGGTGCTTGGAAACTCCCAGCTCCAGGACATGCTCCGCGGCACACTGAGCGACTACGTTAATCCGATCGAACCATTACACTACTTAACTAAAGGTCGGCGTCTAGTACACAACTCTCACTCAGACATGAGATACTAATGATTTGCGCCTCGCTGTAGAACTCTCATTCCCCTCGCTACCTGATGAGACTGTCGCGGAGTTGGGCCCGGTATGTTCGGCTATCGGCTCTGCAGCAAGCTATGGGCCGCAACGGGGTGATGGCGGAAACCCCGCTCTCAAAATTTACGCCGATATTCGCGGACCATATATCACATCGAGCTTGCAGAACCTGGCCATAGCATCTCTCAATACTGTCAAACGACGGGCTGCCGACGGTCCCTACAGGCAAGGCACCAACGGTATCGGGATCTATTCCAACGCTTTAGAAAGCTTTATATATGCAGAACATGATATTCTCGTGCGGGTCTTTACAGGTGATCAACGGGGACTGGCTTTGCAGGCAACTTGCCGCTCCGCTTTGGGCGAATATGCGCAGACCTTGCGAGAGCTCAACCAGTATATCAGGGCAAACCTCATGACGGATTGCTTTTTGGCGTTCGAGATCATCGAGATTGTTACTGCCATGTCGTACCGTGTGGAGTCGAAAACTGGGGAGCTGAAAAGCCTTTTCATCGAGGCTCTCAGGCCGGTTCGGGAGACGGCAAAATCGTCGCTTTCGGAGTTATTGGAGGAGACAAAACGCAAGGCCGCAGGGATTACCATGCTTCCGCCAGATGGTGGGTCTGTTCCCCTTGTCAATGAAGTCATGAGCTCCCTTACCACCCTGACGGGCTATTCGGGGCCGCTCGCATCGATCTTGACATCTCTGGGAGATGGAAACTGGCGGTCCACGACCAATGCAGCGCCCACGGCGCCCTTGGATGTCAGCCCGGACAGCATGACCCTTTTATCGCACTTCATACTCGATATGATCGAAGCTCTTATGATCGCCCTGGAAGCTCGAGGCCGAGCACTTCACCGCTCAAAGGCAGTCCAGGGCGTTTTCTTGTCCAACGTATTCTGTACAGTGGATCGCTCCATCCGTCAGAGTTCTGAGTTGGCCCGATACCTTGGCTCTGCCGACAGCATTGCACGAATCGACACATTCCGCAAACGGGCCACTTCGACGTATCTCGATGCATGGAAAGAAACTTCCCACTATCTTCTGGATGTGCAGTATACCTCTCGGGGCTCTGGCGGGTCAGCACGACCGGCATCTGGAGGTGTCGTCGACTCCGCCGCCATTGTTAAATCACTTTCATCTAAGGACAAGGACGCTATCAAAGACAAGTTCAAAGCTTTCAATGCTAGTTTCGATGAACTGGTGGGCCGCCACAAGGCACTGTATATGGAGCGGGAGGTGCGCGGGGTGCTGGCTCGGGAGGTCCAGGCTGTTCTCGAGCCACTCTATGCCCGATTCTGGGACCGCTATCATGAGATCGACAAGGGACGAGGCAAATATGTCAAATACGACAAAGGCAGTTTGTCGGCTCAATTGGCGGCGCTTGGATGAGGATGGAAATCTTAGATATATATCTACCTTACCTTCTTATATTCCTAATGTGATAATATGTGTTCAAATAAAAAAAAGGCCTCCCCCACGATTTGGGCGTCATGTGGTGATAAGCAACTCCGGCGATAACGTGACCGATAAGCGGAGACCCCGCCGCGTTCATCCACTCCACTAGAAATTTGCTGGTCATCCCGCACAACTTTCGCCTCGCCCCTCCTCCGCCTTTTCCCCTTTTCCTCTTCCCTCAATTCCTTCTACAATCTTCCTCAATTCCTCACGGCCAAGATGTCTGCCAGTAACGATGTCTACCAGACCCCTCTCAACTCGCGCTACTCCAGTAAGTTACCCGATATCACCTCGGGCGACCTCCTGCCCTCATAGTGCGATATCGGACTGACGGGACACCAATCTTCAGGCGACGAGATGAAGTATCTCTTCTCTCCCAGGAACCGTTTCTCTACCTGGAGACAACTGTGGCTCTGGCTCGCCGAGGCCGAGAAAGGTAAATCATACTGCCCATTGTCGTGCTTTTGTTTCCGTTGCCCGACTAACCCGCACAGAGCTCGGTTTGCCGATCTCCGACGAAGCCATTGAGCAGATGAAGGCCCATCTCACTATTCAGGACGACGAATTCAAGGTTGCCGCTGAGGAGGAGAAGCGCCGTAGACACGATGTCATGGCTCACGTTCACGCCTATGGCCAGGTCGCTCCTGCCGCTGCCGGAATCATCCACTGGGGCGCCACCTCCTGCTACTGCACCGACAACGCAGACTTGATTTTCCTCCGTGATGGACTCGACATCCTCATCCCCAAGCTTGCTGTCGTCATTGACAAGCTGTCTGCCTTCGCTAAGCAGTACAAGGACCTGCCCTGCCTGGGTTTCACCCACGGACAGCCCGCTCAGCTTGTTACCGTCGGAAAGCGTGCCTCCCTGTGGATCCAGGACTTGCTCATGGACCTGAAGAACCTCGAGCGGGCTCGCGATGACCTGCGCTTCCGTGGTGTCAAGGGCACCACCGGTACTCAGGCCTCTTTCCTCCAGATCTTCGAGGGCAACCATGACAAGGTTGAGCAGTTGGATGAGCTGGTCACCGAGAAGGCCGGTTTCAAGTCTGCGTACATCATCTCCGCCCAGACCTACTCCCGTAAGATTGATGTCGATGTTGGCAATGCCCTCGGCTCTTTCGGCTCTACCTGCGAGCGCATTGGCATTGACATCCGTCACTTGGCCATGCTGAAGGAGGTTGAGGAGCCTTTCGAGAAGGACCAGATTGGTAGCAGTGCTATGGTGAGGAAAAAAATTCAAAGGACCAATGAGAGCTACAGGAAATACTAACGTGGTTGGTCTGTGCAGGCTTACAAGCGTAACCCCATGCGGTCCGAGCGTCTGTGCTCTCTCGGAAGACACCTTCAGAACCTCCCCAAGGATGCTCTGGACACGTACTCCGCTCAGTGGTTCGAGCGCTCTCTCGTAAGTTTGCGAGATGTTTCTCGTTATCCGACTTCATTCATTAACGGCATGAACAGGATGACAGTGCTATCCGCCGTATCAGCATCCCCGAACTCTTCCTTTCGGCCGATGCCTGTCTCATCCTTTTGAGTGAGTTTTCAGCGCCTTTTCCACTCATCTCTCCCGATGCTGACAACCGTTAGACAACGTCACCTCCGGCTTTGTTGTTTACCCTGAAGTCATCAGACGCCATGTCAACGATGAGCTGCCCTTCATGGCCACGTAAGTTCCAGACGCCTCTAACCCCATCTTTGAAGCTCCAGCTAACCAAGAGACCAACTATAGTGAGAACGTAAGCCTTCCGCGTCCAGAACCGTGTCTTCCAATAATACTAACCATAGCATAACAGATCATCATGGCCTGTGTGAAGAAGGGTCTGTCCCGTCAGGACGCCCATGAGGAAATCCGTACGTCGCGCGGCCCCCAATCCAGTCCCACACTAGCTAGCCCTAACCTAACAACTTCTTGCACTGCAACAGGTGTCCTCTCCCACCAAGCCGCCGATAACGTCAAGAAGCTCGGCTTGAACAACGACCTGCTCGACCGCGTCCGTCGCACTGCTTTCTTCGCCCCCATCCTGGATGAGCTTGATGCTCTCCTTGACCCCAGCACCTTCGTCGGCCGTGCTCCCCAGCAGGTTGAGAAGTTCCTCTCCACTGAAGTGAAGGAGGCTCTCAAGCCCTACGAGGCCCAGGTCGCCAAGGCCGAGACCTCTGCCCTCTACGTATAGTTTCTTCCACACGCGCGCACATATAAACACGTCATGGAGTTATACCAAGCGGGTAGGCCGGACAGGAGCGAATTGGCGTTTTCTTCCTCCACAATCTCCCTACACAAAAGCGAAATCTAGTCATGCGATATGCCAGCGAAATCTGTTCCAAGTACCTTGGTTTGACTAAAAACGGAAGAACACTATAAAGGCCGTTTTAGCAGATTCCAGCAGTCTAAAAGACCATGTGTATAGATAATATAATTGATGAAATGATACGAGATGTTAATAATGCACATTGAATAAATATTCTCCTTGTTGGTCTCTATGTTCACAGTTCAAGTGACGTTACACGATGTACCTGTCTAGCGGAGAGGTACATACTACATACCCATTGTACTTTCCGTCCCCTTATCGGAAGCCTAGAACGCAAGTGGCAGGGAAGTTGCTGCTGCAGCCCCGACGGCCCAACCAGTCGGCTGTGGTAAAACAGAGTTTTGGCAGAACTCAAAACTGTGGGGAGAAATTTTACTGCAACATTGTATCTACAGGTCCCCAGGCTGTATTCAAAGACACGGTATGCAAAATAAACTACTACTAAGTAAATGTGTGAATCTTTCCGGTTGCGGGTATCTGTGTTCTATAAATTCAGTGTAGTGTATTGTGAATGGTTCAATCGAGAAAACATAGACACAGTAGTAAATGATGATGATAAATGTCAATAACGCCTTGGCCATTATACCAGACAAATAGATGTGATGTGTGGATGAAGCTGCGAGGTTACATGATGGAACAAGAGAGGAAGAAGAAAAATGCAGTGAAATAGATATGAGGGTGCGCGATGTAATAAGGTAGAGCGAAAGAAAAAGAAATAAAAAGCGAAGAGAAAGAGGAAGGAGAAGAAAGAGAAGTGAAAAGTAGGAAAAGAAGACACCTGTCCCATCCATCATAAGCAATCTGGCTCGGAGATAATACTTCTCAGGAAACGTCAAGGTTTGACAGATAAGACAATACAGGACAAAAAAAGCAGCGAAATATAGACACGCTGTCGGTCACTGTTGAGATGAGGCAACATGTATTTCAGAATACCTGAGGGTGAATTGGGTTAAATAGAGCGCACGTTTTAGGGACATCCAATACCGTAGTTAGCTTCGAAGGAACCTTTGAGCGGATGGCACAGCACCACTCCGTCATCAATTCAGAGCATAGCCAGCCAGTTGATAACCTAAGGGGCTGTTACTGAAAGTACTTGGTGGCAAAATATGCAGAGCCGTACTCACCATCATCGCTTGTATCAAAGCTACCTTCTCTCCGTAGTGCTTACCATCCCAACTATCAGCTTGAAGGGTCGCATTGTACATTCCCAGAGCATCCAAGCCTCTGTTGCGGGCTTCTTGGGCGGCGTCTTGTGAATACTGCCAGCTGGATGCGTGGATGTTGTCCTTCGAGTCCTTTTGAAGACCAGGAGCTGTCGGACCTACCCATAGAAAAGGGGTGTTCCGTCCACTGGCCTGGGCCAGTGTGAGCCATTCATCCATGCTGCTTTTAGCTGTAGACAGGGAATAGGATGTGGAAAGGGAAAGACTCAGGATCACGGGAACGGGTCTGTTTCGGCCAACTCCTCGGGCGACCATTCGACGAAATTTGTCATACACACCCCTTGGGGCAGGAGAACTGGCTGTAGCGAGGAAGGCATGAGGAATACCTGAGAGCAAGAAGCATTGTCAGCAATCCAGCCCAGATGTGAGCATTGATGGTGACTAGGATGCTGGGGGGTGCTTACGGGATGAACAAGCGTAAGGCCTGCGAGGGGCACTGCTTCCTTCTTGAGCGTATACCTCATCACTCGAAGTAATCCGCAGAGGTAGGCACGATTTACTGGTGAACTGGGATTCACATCGGCAATCATGGTCATGTCCTTTGTTTATCTCCCACTCTCTCAGGGATCCAGTGGCCAGGTCCTCCCGCAGAAGAATATTGAAGCCTGCATAGGCATCGGCCAAGGTATCATCACCCACAAAGACAATTCCATCGAATTTCCGAAGAATGTCGCATACTTCGGCGCTAGTGAACCAACGATAAGAGCATCCTGGAAGGGAAGGTCAGTTTGAGTGTCAAGAAGGCAACTGCTGCCCCTCTGGAGCCCCTCCGAGAAGCCGAAGTGTCCGATACGAGAAAAGAAAGACCATCGATTTGGCACTTGCCTTGAGAGGTATACGCAGCGTCAAAACCGTGACGCCCGCCATTGCTCATGGCGTTGAGCAGGGCATCACGAGATTGGCAGTATGGATTGCTTGAAGCACGTTCGCCATCACCGGGTTGAGGGGGGCTGAAGAGGGACAGGGAAGAAATGTCACACTCTTGACGACCCACATAGGGAGCCAGTAAACTATGTACAAGACGGGGCCAGATGAGTAATTGGGTCATGGACCAGGAAACGATGAGGTCAACCAATAAGGGGAGAAAGAAAAACAAGGAAACTGACAGGGAGAGGCATCCAGGGACTTACTCATTCGTGTCTTTGGGGGTGAGTGGCTGTTTGGAAGAGGCGTAGAAGGGGTAGTAGAAGACATCCCGAATCAGCCAGACGATATAAAAGACACCCAACACCCACAGACAAGCCATCAACTTGTACGTGGAGGATCGCCAGGTGACCCTACGAATCAAGCGTCGACCGTTGGGCCCTTCGATCGGGCCGCGTCGCTGTGGAGCATTGGCTTGCTGCATCCCGGAGAAAGGATAGGCAAGAGCTTCGTTCATAGTAGATGAAATTCCCAAAGATTCGCTGTGAGAGGCACGACGGCGAGACATATTGGGTTTGTTTACATGAACATGCAGCTGGAGGGGTAGTACAAGGGGGAAGGGAGAGAGTCAGGAAAGATGCATCTGCTGAAGTACCAGAAGCCCTTGTTTGCTTAGGTGACTGACTGCCCAGGGCTAATCCAGTCACAATGCAAGCTGAAGTCTCGGGATCAGGCAGGATTCCCAGCCAACGTAATGGGGCCAGCCAGGGGAAGCACCCCGAGGGGGCAAATAGAATAGTAGATAGTATCGGAGTAGGAAGGGAGGGAGGGAGGGGGGTTGTGATTTGTGTGGTTTAAGGCCGGAGACAGGCCGTCTTCTCTGGCACGACTCGCCCGAACGGGTAATCAGAGAGGCACGTAGAAGTGATGGTGATGGGTGATGATAATGACGATGATGATGATGATGATGATGGGGTTAGGCGTGATAGTAAGTTGGGGCGTTGGAGACACTGACTGCTAATTTCCTAGAGCAGGAAATAAACAATCACCACACGAGAGAAGGAGGGGGGGTGGTGGAAGATGGGAGGGGAATAGCTGAAGAGTGGAGGGAGGCCTTTAGATGTCTCCTTCCGATTGGGATGATATTATTCCCAAGAATTGGTGCCTCTCTCTGTTTCTCCCTCTCTCTCTCCGTCTCTCTCTCCTCGTCTTCTTCTTCCTTGCTTTCTTTCTCTCTTTGCTTCGATTCTCTTCTTCTGTTCTCCTAGTCCTGACTGGACGTGACTTTGCTTTCCCTGCCACCTGAGATTTCCTTCAGTCAAAGTCGACGGTTGCCCCAAATCCGTTCCACCAAGTGGCCTCTCGTTCTTTCCTTTTTGAGCAGGTTTCTACTTCCCACCCAGTCTTTTGCTCTGTTGGTTTGACTGGTTTGCTTTCAGGCTTTATTATTTTCTTTTTTTTTCCCTTCCTTTCTTTTTTTTTTCTTCCTCTTCCTATTTTCCCCTCTTTTTTTCAACTTCTGTCTGTCTGTCTGTCTTGTTTGGTCTCCTCTGTCTTGGCTCACAAGTGGTCCTCTTTTTCCCCCTGAATATTAACCAATACGAAGGCTCCAATGGCAGGACCACACACGCGCACACACAATGGGATCAACAGAGTGACAGAAATATAACCTAGAAGGCAATGGAGGGGCAAGTAGTAATTATGAAGGAGGGGCTAATTGACTGGTTCCGGGCCAGTGAAGGGCAGAGATTCGGCTTCAACAGCATGAGCGCAAAAAAGGTAATGCTGGGAAGGTTTGCGGATCCTCTCTATCGGGTTCCTGCCAATGAGTGAGTGCACAGCAACAACCCAGCCAGATAGTCTGGTAAACGCCTTCTCCAGTGCAATCGGGAAGATTAACAATAAGAATTGCCAAAGGGAAAAAAGAAATATGAGATCCAAAACATGAAAAAAGCCAACTAATCATCAAAATCTATGAAAAGGACAAAAAAAGAAAATGAAAAAGACAATGAGAAGAATGAATCCCAACAGAAGAGGGATTGAAGACGGAACCCAGAATACACACACACACACACACACACACACACACACACAAAAATTTCAGAGACCATAAATCAATACTAGTAGTGAAATATAATAAATGAGAAAAAAAGGTATGACGAGGGTTTTTGATGTTCGTGCAATGTCGGTTTGCATCATTTTTCTTTTCGCACCCCAAATTTTTTTTGTTCCTTTTGGGTTAGAACAATAAACCCACAGGGTAACGGAAATAAAAAACGAACAACTAAAAACCGACACATGCCCTCAATCAAAGCCGCTGGAACAAAATCCTGGGACAAGCCATCCTTCCACTGCATGTAAACAAACTGGTCGATGGATCCATTCTACCCCCTCCCTTCTTGTCCCGATCCATCAGTCCACAGCCGGGATGAGCTATAGCCATCATCATAACACATAAGAATGCCAACGAAACCCACTCCCGCACACAAATAATAACAAGCCTCGGGGGAAGAAATTGGTCCGTGACATCAAATCGGACACTTTCCACTCACCTATTATGGAAAAGTTTGCCCCTCTAAATCGTAATCACTGCGTTTCCCCGACCACTTCGGGATCTGTCACAGATCACACAATCGATAAAAAAGAAATAGATAAATAATCAAAAAAGAATGGAAGGAAAATATATAGTATGATGATAGTGATATATATATCAAAGGAAAATAAAAAGTTGAGGCCCAAGATAAGGTGGTGAGATACAACACCAAATCTTGACACCAAATAAAAAAAAACACAAATAAAAGTATCGGTATCCCCCAGAGAAGTCCCGTGGAAAAGAGAAACTGAACTTCAGGGTCAACCCAAGAGTTGCCGGTGCTTCCTCGGCGATTTTAAAACGGTCAACTCACACCGTACGGTGAGATGAGGGCCAGTCAGATAACCTGACGGGCAGATACTCGAGGTGACGACTAGTTCTCCGGTTGGTGGGCCAGACAGGTGTCAAAAAAGTTAACGAGACTCCACTGTTCAAGAAGGTTTCGGGCGGAAAGGACATGCGAAGAATTGAATGTGAGACCAGAGGGACGCCAGCTGGAGTTAACTGAACTATGGCCCCGGTAATTGCAAACTAACTAGGTAAGGAGAGAGCCCCTTATAGGGGACGAACAAGGGCCTTAGTTAGAGCCAGTCCATGGTCACCTTTCTTTTAATGACCAGGGGGTGTGGGTGGGTTTGTTATCGACGGGGGTATGTGTGTGTGCGTGTGGAAAATCGGGCTCCATCTCTCGCAGACTCACATTTTCTTCTTTCTTCGAAAGTGATAGAGCAGAAATGACAGAAGATCATGACGACGCAATGATGGGTAAGGAGTCACCACCTGCCTGAAAGGCTTGGGTTGGGCATCCGTTTTCCATGACCGTTCATCTCAATTTTCTTTTTTTTTTTTGTCGTTTCTTCTTCCACTTTTTACTTTTTCTTCTGTTTTCTCTCTTCTTGTTGCTCCGCCTCTTTTTCCAGCCCTATGCAGCGGTTTGGGGAGTGATAGGAGTTCTCACCGCGTCGCGTCGTCTCTCATCCTCGCTCATCTTTATCAGGACGCGGCCTCGCCTGATTGGCTCTCCCCGTCAGTGGACTAACCATCGGAGATGCACCAAGAGGATCTTCGCTGCTGCGGCCGTCGTTTAAATATTCCACCTGGGTCTTTTTGCTTTTTCCTGCTGTTGTGTCCTTCCAGTGACTAAGTTCTAGAGGTAATGAACCCAAGTACAAAGCCACGATGTGGCGGCCCAGCAGATGGTTGCCCAGAACCTTCTTCATTTTTCGTATGCAGGGACAATACGGGATAGAACCACGAGCATACGTCCATAACAATACAATTCTTAGTCTTTCTTATGTCATAAGAGGGATGTTGTCCTCTACCACATCTGCACTTTTTGTTTTCCCTTCATGAGACGATTTTTTTTCTAGTTCAGCTTCCCGTCAAGTGTTGCTAGCCATCAACGTGGCAGGTGACTAGAATTCTATTTATCCAGACCCTATGGGGAGTGGTCACGAGGCCGATCCCAACAGCGATAAACTCCAGCGATAAACTACCCAGAGACTTACTGACTACTAATTGGGAGCCGGTGTACACGGTATATACATAAGCTTGTTGAGAACCTCGTGAAAGAACCACGGATCACTGGGGACACCCGCGGGAAGGGGTGAACCTAATCAGGGTGTACCTTGACAAAAGCAGCCAGCTGCGTTTTTAAGATGAAGGGAAGAGACAAAGAAGCAAATCCGAGGCTGACAAGGAACAAGGGACTCTAGAACTACCTTAGTAGTAACTGTTACTCTTGCTGGATGGGGTTCTGGCCAGTCGGAGTGTGCGCGTGCCCCGGATTCGAACCAGCCTCGGACGAAGGGGAGATCCGGAGAAAGGTTCAGCTTGACACCGGCAATCCCGTGTGCGTCGACAGCTATCTACTAACTATTTCTTGACTAGTCAATAGTTGACACACACTACAGTGACTACCCAGGCCCGGAGAATATCAGCTTAAGTAAGATGAAGGTGCATATAATGCCACCAGCAGCAGCAAGGGTCACATCGACACATCCCCACAGACACAGTCGGCTGAAAGGGTCTGCGCGATGAAGCAAGAGGGGAGCTGATGGAACATGGCCAGCCATGACCAATTTCCTCCGTAGAGGGCAGATCTGCGATGTTTTCTGTCCGCCAGCCAGAGCAGAGCAGAGCAGAGCAGAGCAGGCGATTCACGGAGTATTCGAGCCGGAGTGTTCCTGCTTTTCCCTAAGACCGGGTGGTGCAATGGACCTTTCTTTGGTCCTTATAAAAGAGTGGCTCCGAATCGGCAGAGGAAATAACAATATCCTCGGCCAAGCACGGGATCGCAGACGGCAACCTGCCCCCCCACCAGCACACGTGACTCTTCACTCCCCGGGAATTGAGAGTCTCAGTCTCCGCAGCTGCCCATCCAAAAAGAGTCATTTCTCCTCCACCGGTCGGTCTGCCCACTTCCCTCCGCCCGTGCTCTCTTTCCTTTTTCTCTCGACTTTCCCACCAAACACCCCCAAAGTGTCTCGATCGGTCTGAAAAGTAAGATTCTCTTCTTGGCTATTGTTTGTTCTTTCCTATCTATATTGTCCCCGTGGTGGTATATATCTCTCGGTCTCCTGCCCACCCGAAGTCCTGGTTCTCTGCGAGGCACCATTCCGGGGATCTTCATACCGCCCGCCGTTCCGAGCTCGCCTGCGAGCGGAGGTGTCCCTCAACCTCGGTAGTCCTTCTCCCACCTACTCTCACTCCTTACCAACTATCACAATTGACTGACCAGCTATTCGACCAGCTGCTCTCAATAATTTGGAGCGCCTGTATAATTCACATTGGTTGTATCGAGTGCTATTCCAGGCCGTCTGGCCTGAACCTCGCGTTGACATCATGTGGAAGCCGTCGGAGAGTCTGATGAACACCATCAGACATTATGCCAGCTTCCCTGCTACTGGTGTCTCTCTCCGGCAGATGGTGCAGTTTGGAGATAGGCCCTCCACAGGTAAGTCTTCTTATCCTCTTTTGCAGGCACTCTCCTCCCTCTTTTAACTTCTTGAGTGATCACCCCGCTAACCTCGTGATCTTTCCCCCTCACCAGGCACCCTCTTTCGCGCCTCACAGTTCCTTTCCGAAGAACTCCCAATACGTCTCGCCCATCGGGTCCAGGATCTTGGAGAACTTCCAGATGGTCTCAGTGAAATGCCATCTATCAAGAAGGTCCAGGACTGGTACGCACAGTCGTTCGAGGTATGACTCATACCCGCTGGAAGTTGATTCTCGGGTGACGACTGACATGTGATAACGTAGGAGATCATCAACCTCCCTCGACCAACTCTGACCCAGGAAGTCAAAACTCGTCTGCTTCGTCCGGGGAGGCTCAACGGAGGCCCTTCGAGGATCCTCTCCGAAACAACACAGAACCCTAGCATCCGTGAAGGACAATACCGCTCGTCTCCCTCGTCCCTGTTGAACGGCAACGGCAACGGCAAAGGCGCCGCCGTGGGCCGAAGATACTATGCTCCTTCTGATGACCATGGAGATTGGCCCCCGGAACTGAATGATTACAATGAACGCTTCGCCAAGACTTTGCAGCATATCAAGCGGAGACACGACAGTGTTGTCACTACCGTGGCTCAAGGTATCCTTGAATGGAAACGAAAGCGCCAACGTCTGCAGATTGATTCCACCGTACAGTCCTTCCTCGATCGGTTTTACATGTCCCGGATTGGTATACGAATGTTGATCGGTCAACATATCGCTTTAACGGAACAAACGCATGTGCGACAACCAAACTATGTCGGTATCATCTGTACGAAAACCAATGTGCGCGAGGTAGCCCTTGAGGCTATCGACAACGCTCGCTTCGTCTGTGAGGATTACTATGGTCTCTTTGATGCACCCAAAGTGCAACTTGTCTGCAAGGAAGATCTGAACTTCATGTATGTTCCGGGTCACTTGTCCCATATGCTCTTTGAAACCCTGAAGAACTCCTTGCGTGCTGTCGTGGAAGCCCACGGCGCAGACAAGGATGCCTTCCCGGTCACCAAGGTCATCATCGCAGAGGGCAAAGAAGACATTACTATCAAGATTTCCGACGAAGGTGGTGGCATCCCTCGCTCCGCCATCCCCTTGGTCTGGACGTACATGTACACTACCGTAGAGCAAACTCCTAGCCTGGATCCCGACTTTGACAAGAGTGACTTCAAGGCTCCCATGGCCGGTTTTGGTTACGGTCTGCCGATTAGTCGACTGTATGCTCGCTACTTTGGTGGCGATCTGAAGCTGATCAGTATGGAAGGGTGAGTGCCAAGGTCCCGACCAATGTGTAACGACACAAGGTGACTAACCACACAACTAGATATGGCACTGACGTCTATCTCCATCTCAACCGGCTCTCTTCGAGCTCGGAGCCCCTGCAATGACAATTACCAGTCATGAGGGATGGTCGTGTCCGATTCTCCACTTCCCACCGACTGCATCCTTTCTACACAGAACCGGATCCGCCACCATCCCAAGGATTGACGCCGATGAACATTCAAAGCGCGCGGATGCGCAATCGGGAAGTTTCCGAACGCAAGCAAGTTGGAGATGCAGCAATTCTACTCAACGCTGAGACGCGTGGATAAAGTAGCTGCAATCTGCTTGGCGCTTACCCTCGCCCAGTCAACACGTCCATGCCGACGCACTAGACTGGGGCACTAGTGGGGACCGAACTTCTAGAGAGAACTATAAGCCACGAAACCTTGTCATACCCTGGCTCAGCATGTGACATGGTCGGACCCCTCGCAGACCTTGTGGGTGGAAAGGTGCTACTACCATCTTTATACTTGTTGAAAAGTGATGCGCTGGCATTCCCCTGTGTTTTGGGAGGATGTATTGAGATTCAGGCCGCATTTCTGGTCTATTAGATACCCTTTCTGGTACGATGGATCCGCATTGGAAGACACAGACGCTCATGCATTCATTGACTTGAGTCGTATTTTTGGAGATCTATCTATACACCACTATAGATGATTGGGCGCCTGTGCCTGCATTCTTCCCTGGACACCATCTTTTGTTGCTTGTTTGTTTGCCATTTATTTAGTGCTATTGGTTACCTTGCATGTTATGCATGAGTCGCAACCTCCCTTGTATAGTATGTTTCTTACGGATTGACGGAATATGGTACGGTATGGTTTTGGATAGGATTTGTATGTACACAAACGCAGCGCTGAATCATTGTTTGGATATGTGAATAATACACCTAGAATTAAACCCGTAAGAGAAGCTTAGCATCTACTTAGTACCACTTCTCAAACAACCCCCCTCCTCCTCTCCCTCTCCCGATACGACGCCGACTGCTGCAACCCCCTCCCCCCTCTCACTCCCCTCCCCACCCGATCCGGCGTCCCCATCCTCCCCTTCACCTTCGACGCTGCCGACCCAGACCCGGAGATCGACCCCGACCCCACCGACGCAGGCGACGACTGCATCCCCCCAGCACCGCTAGCACTGACCGATCCCCCGCGTCCCGCACGCTCCATCATCGGCCTCCTCCACCCCGCATCATCCGTCTCATACACATCCACCACCTGTCGCGGCACAATCATCGCAACTGTTGACGACGACGAAGCAATACTGCTCGTGCTGGGATGCTGTACTGTGAACCGGTCTGCGCGGATCGAGGCCGCGGCTTCGGGGTCCTCGGGGGCGAGAAGGCGGGATAGAAATCGGCGGCGGGATTGGGGGAGGGTCTGTATATTATTCATTCGTACTGTTTAGTGATGCATTTATGGGGAAGAGAAATGGGGAGGGGAGATGAGAAGTTCTTACCTCCTGATGCGCCAACGCTTGAATAGTCAGCAGTTCCCTGTCTAGGAGGACGCATAACGCGGCGTGGCGGTCTTCGCGGAGGCGAGTGCGTATCTGACGTTCTTGATCGAGGGTTGTTTGGTAGAGAGTTGGGCCTAGGTTGGGGGTTGGTGTTGTTGGGTAGGCTTGGTGCTTTGTTAGTGGGGTTCTTTTGGATTTGGTTTGATTGTTGTAATAGTGATGGGGAACAAGGTGGTTATGGTTGATTATGGTGTGTTTGGTATGTGCTGCATAAATGGGTGAAAGGTGGTGGGGGAGTGAGTACTTACTAAACCCCGTTATACCCGACTGAGGCCGCGAAGACTGTAACGAGTACTCTACCTGCATATCGTCATCGTCCTCCGCCGACTCGCTCTCTTCGAGGTCGAGTTCGCGGATTAAAGAGTCTTCGTCGTCTTCGAGTGCTTCGATGTAGATCTCTTCCGGGTAGTCGTTTTCGAGTTCCTCGTCCTCGTCATCGTCGGCAATCACGATGGGGTCTCCTTGGCGACGACCGGGGTTGGGTGTGGGGATGTTGGGGTTGAACATTATTTCTTCTTTTTCTCTTCTTTGTTTCTTTCGTTGGGGAATTGAGATTGAGGCGTGATTGGGGGGGTAGTGCGTGGAGGATGTACGTTTTATTTGGGTGTGGTATATGCGCAGAGCGGGTATTGTTCCAAGTCGCTCCGTTTAGCATGTGATTATGCGTAATGCGCGCTGATAGGAATCACAGAGATAATTGATAATGGTTGGAAGTTGTAAGTAGGATTGTGTAGATGTAAGAAGTGCAGAAAGTATGCTGGTATGTCGATAGACAGAGTGGAGGTGCTGTGTGCTGTGGGCGTGTGTGATTCGTGCTCAAAAGTATTCGGTAGAGTGACACGAGCTCCGCAGTGCATACACTGTAAGGTCGAGCTGTAGAGCAGATATGAGTGAGGAAATGGGCAGACTGAAGCTGACAGAAGCTGCACGGTTGACTGTTCGGTGTAAAAGTACTGTTCAACCCCGTCCGGCAGGATTAGACAAGTCAATACTCCCGTCGTGCTGCGGTTCGCAAGAAGAACTAGCGCGAAGCTGAATGAAGAGAGAGATGAAAGAGTGGAGAGGATGACGATAGCGGAGAAGGAATGGGTAGCGCGGCTTAGTCACGGGGCTGCCCTACATGGCGGGTTGACAGGTCACTTTTACGAACCGCTTCACTGCGAAGGATGCCATGACTCGCGATCAGATGGTTCATTGGTATTCATTTCTATCGAGTATCTCTATATGTTCGATCATTACTCGCTCAATGCTCGAACAATCCACGTCCATCCCCTCGATGCCTCCATCCCAGTCACTCAAACAACCCTCCCATCCGAAGAAGCCACTATACTATGAAGCTAGAGCACGAAACATCCCAGCACGACATGCCAACAGGGTAAATGCGAAGAAATTTGCATAAATTACAAGTGAAGATTAAGATGCGATATGTCAGACCCCAAACCACCAGCTCGAAGGACGAAAAGACGCCGTCAACGCCAAAGGATAATGCCGCTAAAATGACTCGCAAGCGCCTATGACCGGCACCATGAGCATGCCAGTAAGCCGTGCGGTGTTTGTATCAAGAGAGACCGGCTGAAACTGATCTGGTATTCCCAGAAATGCTAGGTAACTCTCGAAGATCGAACCCCGCGTCCCGTCGAAAGAATCAGCACCCGTTCATTAATGAATTCGTGGGCCAGTCGTATCCGGCATCACCCCTGCTATGCATCAGAAACTCCACGCTACAATGTCCAGGGAATGGATACACATACCATGTTGTTATGTTGTTGTTTGTGTAAGCCTCTGCATGACTGGCAATATACTCGGTTGTCTCATAGCCTGGCGGGTCGCAGGTGATACTGATGTTGTCGGGATCCTGGTATATGCGGATATAATCGAATCTCATAAATCCAGGCATTATGTCGCGGATGGTCTCATTGATCGGAGCGAAACTCCATGCCATACCCAGGTTCATAACTATCGACATCGGCTCCATGGGAATCATCCGCTGTCCAACGTTGCCATTGGGACCAATAGCTCGCCCGTCTAGGGTCCAGGTCTTATCCTGGCCCACGAACCAGGTCACGTTCCCTACCGCACCCGGGGTATACTCGAACGCATATACTTGGTACTCGGTCCCATTATACCAGCGGTTGTTGAGGTTGGTCAGGCCAGACATAGCCTGCTGGTACGGTCCGCCCCGGTAGGAATTTATCTCGGTGATACGAGGGTCGTACACCGCAGTATAATCTGCAGGTTGTTAGATCAGATATGACCAGGCGCATGTTGTCAGCAGCGTTAGGCACCTACCGTAGTCAGGCATGTACCAGATGTCAAATGGCGCCATTTGCAAACTCTGGGACGCGGTCCCAATGAAAGCGTTTGGGTTGTTGTTCAGAGGGCCTACACTGGCCTCGATCACATCGATTTCCGGGGCGCCACGGGATTTGCCCGGGGTGGGATGATCGGCACCGTCACAAGTGCACGCCGGTAGACGCATGCCTGGAAGAAAATTAATACCATCTGGAGAACTTTGATTCGGCGTAATGCCTGCATCGCATCCGTCGTAGTAGCTGTATGGCCACGTGCCATCCGTGGTCGCAGCATAGCCCGGGCGGCCTAGGTTGCCCATCGCCCAGAACCCGGGCCAAAATCCAGATACATCTCCAGCTCCGGGCAGGGAGATACTGGCTTCCAAGCGTCCACCAGAGAAGCACAGCTTATTCCAGCTTTGTACCATTCCCGAACGGTAGCCAAGCTCATGGTTGGTGAACGCATCGAATCGGATCTCCAATGATCCATCTTTCGTCGTGACAGCATCCGGGTCATACCACTATCAAGGGGTTAGTCGCGATGCATTGGTGGAAGACGATATCAGTACTAGCCTCCAGGTCCTGCGTCACACCGTACCAGAAATCCATGGCCTGATAATAGGCGTCATCCCCATCATAAAATGTTCGGCCAGGGGTTTCGAATTCGTCAGAGAACTGCTCCGGGTTAATGACTATTCACTGTTGTAGCTCACAATATCTCCTCCCTGACTCACCACTAACTGCCATTCCTTCCCATCCACTGTCTTCTTTGTCATTGCTGATTCAGGCGTATCCGGGTCTATCAATCCAGTCCTCAAGTTGGTGAGACCTGATCGATCCCCAACGTCAAGACACAGAGTATCGGCAGGATCACATGTCGGCACGTATTTTCTTGATATCCCGCCCAGGGCAGTTCTAAAGCCCAGTCAGTATGCGTCCAAGTTGAGCGCGGTGCTGAGACCAGCAGGTCATGGATGACTCACATTACTGGGTAGGCAACAAATAACACTACAAATCCCACCGTCATGAGGAGCAGCCCACCCAGATTGACCAAACCCCGCTTGTTCCATACATCGCACACAATATCCCTGTCGTTTGGATCGGGATTATGCATATAGTCATCCTTCTCAACATCCTCCGGGAACAATAATAATCCTTCTGTTGGCATTATGTTGTACTTTTCCGTCACTGTTTGAGTGTTCACGTCATCCCCTTCACTTTCTGCACGCGAGGGCGCCCGGGAATCTTCGAAACGACTGTACAGGTAAGCTCTAGCATCATAGCTGACCGCCTCTGAGCTCCAGCTCGTCCGTCGCGAAGACCGAATCGACAGTTCCGGAGATCGCTGTTCCTCTCTGACGCGGTAGGGCCGCGGGGGTATTAGAAGCTCGGTTGATTCCTGGGGAGTGGGTGAGCCCCATGTCGTCGGGAACGTGGCTTCAGAGGCCGACTGCACCATGCCGGGGGTCAACGACCGCCCCATCTGCTGGGGCGGTACTGACACGTAGGGATCATCTGAGTCGGCGAATGGGTCATGTTGGCCCGAATTGACACGGATGTGAGGTGTCTCGCGCAAGATCGCCTCTTCGGACATCCTGCGAAATGAAGGTCCGCCTCGAGGAGACCGGACTGGACGCTTTTGTATACTAATTCTGAAGCTCAATGGTGCTTAAGCAGATTGGGTGACAAGGAGCGGTTACCCAGTATACCAAGATCCCTTCTAGCTTGCTATATCACACGTCCTCCACTTCGCGTCCTTTGTATTCCACCTGGTCAGGCAGATGCCCACCCTCTGGAGACCAGGTATTTCACTGCAAGCCCAAATATGATTGACGGAGTGATGTCAACTGCTTAGTCGTAATGAATGACAATGGAGGCGCGATAAATATCGGGTGTGCCAATGCGATAATGAATGTGAAAGTGGTTGTCCGATGCCCGCCTATATCCTAGAGCCAGTGCATATAATCAACCCCGGAGCTGAGCACGAGGATCGATTGATCTGACGAATGAGTTGAACTGATGCGATATGACTTGTAGCTAAGGGATTGTAGGATGAGCGACAGGAAGATAATTGTGCAGATAAAGAAAGAAGGAGTAGTGAACCGCTGAATCGCTTACAAGCCGAAGAATATCGCGGAGGCAGAAGCTGAGAGAGTGAAAGAAAAGAGAAAGCACGCGAATTGGAACCCAGATGAAGATGGTGACAGAGACAGCCGTGACGCAGGGCTCAAGGAAGGGATGAGCAGCGCACGAAGTGAAGGAGGAGGAAGAAGAAGAAGAAGAAAATGAAGGTGTAAAGAGAGAGAATGGGAGAATGGGAGAATGGAAGAAAGATGAAGGTGTGTGGCAGCCAGAGTGTGAACAAACAATGTCAATCCCTCGAGTGGGCAAGTTGGTCCTACATGCATGGATGAACCCAAGCTTTTTCTTCCCTAATTTTTCCTTGAATTTCCCATTTTTGCACCAGAATGGAATCACCTTAATTTTCCCTGCTGGGTGATGGCGGCATTACAGCTGCAGGAGGGAGTAATTACAGGAGGGTTTGGAGTGCAACGACATGGCGGAATGCATTAAATCAATTTTAGAGTCTAAAGATCCCCTGGTGGGATTGCCAGGCCCAGAAAGGGCGGCAGCTGCATGGATGCTGCCTCGAATTGAAGTTATACTGCATCCCCTCGATCCCCGTCCGTGGCTGCGGTCTTCCTTCCAATAATGTGATGAGCTGCTGCTGCACACGACGCAGGTCCGTCCCAGTTAGCCGTGTACACTTGCTTACGCAGTCAGGAATCAACTCCTGAGGAAAGGGCCAACTCTCCCCGGCAACCCTTTTCATGACAGATGAGATTCCTGAATGTTGGGAAAGAATCCGGTTGCCCTTGACTGGCGGGAATGACGGGCCCTGAACCATGAAATTCCATTCTGGGCCGAAATACAAAAGTTAGTCAATCCCATCTCGGGCGCATTAGTCCTGTTTGGGACTAGTCAGTACCAGGATGGAACGGCCACTAGTTCTCAAACTGATAACTTACAGTAACTTGCAGTTGCGCGAACTGGATTTAGCGCCGATCATCTGGTATTGTAACTTGGTAATAAACACGTCTTGATCTCTTTCTTTCTTTCTTTCTCTCCTTCCCGCATTCTTGCCGCCGTTGGCCATTGACGACTACATTCCATTCCCTCCTGTCTGCCTGGATTAAAGTCTTCGAGGGGATATAAGATAGGCACCAAAGAATCGCCAAGTGGTCCCCTGTTCAACTGACTCCTGCCCTGGATAATCCAACTTTATGATTTCCCGTTGCCAGAGAGCAACTTACGAATCTCTGCTATCGGCCCGGACGGGAGTGCTCAGCCATTGCCGATGCCGCACTATTTCCGTCAAAGGGATATTATCCAACCTAAATTCGCTGTTCTCGCTGGCTATAAGGTTGATTCTAGAATTAGCAGCCTGGCTGTACAATACGTGTCGACCAGACAGAAAGTTCAATCCGGCTGCTGACCATCAAACATAGGCTTCATCGTGATCCAATGGATCCTGTGTAACATACTATAGTTACTGGTTGGTCTGAGGCTGATTCATCTACAAAGCAGCCGTCTCCTTGGCGATGTACCTGCTTTGCTCGGCTAGGCGCTGAGGGTGGAATAATGGATCTAAGTTTATCACCCATCACATCCTCATAAGTAGAGGTGGAAAAGATCCCCCCGTATAGCGCTAGGAACCCCTGGCCTGTGCTTTGGCGGTTGTTCATCCCGCATGGACCACATTCCATTATTAGTCAACCAACTCATGTAGTTAAACTTGAGTCAGAGCTTTCAAGCTGTTTGATCAGTAGCTGAGTTTGCAACTGAAATTGGCTTTATATCCATGTGTAATCTAGACCAGCCACCAACACGTCAGCTCTGGTCAAATCTGGCACAGCCAAGTCAAGACCAAAGTCAATTGAATTATGTGCCATGGCCCTCAATTTGTCATTCAGGAAATATATCAGTTACAGTATAAGCAGAGTATTTACTGCCCTAGTACTGAGGGCGCGAATAGCCACGACTTACAGTGCCGGGCGCTTAACTACCCATCGCTTTTGCCCGGGTACGACTTTCAGACCACTTGAATATTAATCATACTTTTAGTAGCCAATACCTCTTACTGATGACCATAGACTCTTGATAATTGATTCATAATCTACCTAGAGTTATATAGTTGCATGGAAACCTGCTGGTTTCTTTGTTTGATTTAGTACTTGCTACTTGCAGTATATATATATATTTGTATATATAGTATACACACTATGTATGCTGTGACTAGTAAGCATAGCATACTATATCCTCAACTACCCAATACCCTTCTTCGACTCCACAAATCCTAGACCATGATTACACCAATAATATCGCATATCGAGCTGGCCAATCTGGCCGAAGACTATCAGGATATACCTCTACCGAATATATTCCCTTCTCCTAACCCGGACTAAGCCCAAGCTAGTACTACTCTATTCCTACTGAAAGCAATCGGACCTGAATAACTGCTCTCATTAACCACCTCCATAGCTAATATATACACAGTAATACATACAGCGATTATCATCGTCTATTAGTATCTGACCCCAAGTCCACCGACAATACCCACAGCAGTCTGCAAACAACATCGACCACATTCACCAGTTTAAGCCCATCCACCTGAGCAGATAATCCATACTTTCCTTCTTTCCCCCCAATTCTCATAGACACCTCCGTCACATAGAACAAACCCTATGCTTCCCACTGCATATCAACCACCCCAGAAACATATCAATCAATCAATCAATCATCAATCACCACGCACTCACCAGCATGAACAATCACGCCTCCTCTTCCTCCTCCTCTTCCTCCTCCTCCTCCTCCACCACCATCACCCTCCACACCCCCTCTTTCCCCTCCCCCTCCTCGACCTTAACCTCCACCTCCCCCTCCACCATGTCTTCATCCCCCACAACCGCCCACCCCAAACTCGCCACATTCGCCGCCAAAAACCCATCAAACCTCTCCACCACCCCCCTAGCACACCCATCCACCACACACCGAAACCTCCCCTTAACCCTCTCCTTCACACAAACCGCCGTACTAAGCAACTGCAACGACCTGCCCACGCCCAGGGGCACCCACCCACCCCGCGACGCAAGATTAAAGACCATATACCAGACATCATGACCCCGGGGAATAGCCCTGCACGCGACGCGCCAACCACCCATGAGCTTATCAAAGCCCGGCCACGAGATCGCGCAGATGTTATTCTGATCGTTGTTCAGGATCACGGGGTGCCTGGTGCTGGGCATGCAGGGGAGGCGGGGCGGAGTGATGCAATGCATGTTGGGGTCGGTGGCGCAGTCGAAGAAGAACAGGCTCTCCCGGTTCTGGGATGAGAAGGGCAGCGGGTGTGGGGAGCATGGGAGGTAGCCGATCTGCAGGTCGTGGAGGAGGTAAAGTCGGATGTAGTGCGCGTGTCGGGTCAGGAGGGTGTAGGTGGTTGGGTTGGCGAAGGCGTGGTAGAGGGAGTGGGGATCGCGGAAGGCGAAGATGTAGGAGGTTGGGTTGGTGATTATGATGTTAGGGTCGATTGTGGTTGTTGTCGGTTGGGAGTTGTTGGATAGGATGCAGATTGGGTGGTTGTTGGCGGCGTCGATGTGCAGGAGGATTTCGGTCTGGTGGTGCTGGTCTTGTGACAGGGCTTGGGGTGGGTAGGGGATGAGGTGGATTTCGGGGCCCGGTTGGATTTGGGGTTGGATTTGAGGTTGGAATTGAGGCTGGATTTGAGGCTGGATTTGAGGATGGGTTTGAGGTTGGATCTGAGGCTGGATCTGAGGTGGGATTTGGGGTTTAATTTGGTGATTGTTGTTCATAGTTTGATTCATGGGCTGTGCCAGTGTTTGGTTCATGGTTGGATTGTGTGGTTCCATTTTGTGTATGGTTGTTCTTGTAGTAGTAAGGGTTGGATGGTAGAGAGGACTGAGATTGTTGAGATTGATGTAGTGCTTGTATGTATGAGAGGAGGAAAGGACGACGACGACGAAGACGAAGACGAAGAGAAGAACGGAGAGTGAAGATGTAACAGAGAAGATAAAAAGGCTCATCTTGCATACTTTCTATATACTTAACCTAACACATCTTGCTGCCATATAGGGCATTCTGTTTATAGCCCGTGAATGAGCTTTTATGCTCCAATCGCCCGGGTGTCAATCGTTCCGATGCATCATGATGCAATTACTGAGGCACAGGGAAGTGATTCACTTCGGCGCAGTTGTTCATAACACCAGACTGCATATTGGTGGCAGGTTGGGCAGGTTCGAAGCTGTTATACAGATATAGATGGCTGACCCAGTTATACTAGCTACCGCTAGTGTGCGAATGGCGCTAAGGACTAGAGTGGTTATTTGAATGAGCGTTAGGGCTAGTACACGACTGCACGTAGGCGTTTCTAAGATATATGAAAAATTAGCAGATAGTTATATTAGTATTGCTCATATTGATATAAGTAACGTCATTCTCAAAGCATGTTGTGGCCTCAACACGCCAGTCTTCTCACATAAGTCATCCACCCATTACCCAAGTTAAACCATCCATAAATAATGTAACAACTAAGTTTCGATAGCCTTAGCCCTCAGCCCAACAACCAACCCTTCTGTCCCATCCAGCGCCAAAACAAAGTACTCCACTCTCGACCTGGCCACCTCAACCCGATAGACCTTCACAGCCGCGCCCTCCTCATCCCCCACAGCAGCCCTGATTGCCCTCACCACCCCAGCATACTGATTCTTCGGGTCGAATGTCGAGAATGTCAATGTCTCAATGGAGTTGGAGAGGTCCGCGTCGGGAGAAACAAGGTTGGAGAGAGCAGCTATTATCACATTCCCATTAGCTTATGATCGATCCAGTACACTCAGAACAGGCAGCTCACCTGCATCAGGCCAGATCCCCCGCCCCGCATCAGGCCATTTCAAAGCAACGGGTTCAAACGGCTCATCGGTTTCCGAGACGTAAAAGGCATCGACGGAGGTGAGGGACGTGGGGACGCGGACGTTGGTGTGGATGGGTTGGGTGCGTGGGGTGGAAGAAGTGTTGTCTCGTTGGGGCTGGAATTGGCTGGCATTAAGGTCTGCGTTGGCCTTGTTCAGGAAGGACATGTAGTCGTTGTCGGAAGACATGGTGCGAGTGTGAGGAGGGGTGATGATGGTGTTGGATGCTGGTCTTGTGATTGTGGAGAGAATGTAGGGACTGCGTTGGAGATGGATTCGAGATGAAAATTGATGGTAGCGTCTCTGGTGATATGATCGAGTAATCTGGAGTGATTGTTGGAGCTGAATTGAAGAGGGGCGAGCAGAAGATAAGGAGGAAATTGAAGCCCAAGACACGAGGGGATCAATGACGCAATGGCCAGTGCGGCTGAGCGGCCAGCGGCGCAGACTTGCGGCGGTCATCTGATTGGTGCTGAGATGGGTAACAGAGGGAATGAATGAATGGATGGCTTCTAGAAGGATAGAGTGGAACAAGCCCAGATAAGCAGCCAGTGAAGAGGTCGTCGAAGGATGGATAAGTGTTGACAGTGCCCCTGATCTTGGTTGTCTTGAAGGGGATATGGCGACCCGACCGAGGAAAATTTGCATCGGAGTCTACGCACACACCAACCATGCCTTGGGTAGTAGGCAAAAACCTCTCATGAAGATTTTTTTTTTTCTGAGGTCTCTATACTGCAGTGGTCTAGGCAGATAACAGTTAAATCCAACACATCATTATTGCTACGTAAACTACCGTGACACCATAGGAAAAAGTGAAAGGTATTCTTCGCTTTTATTGAAACGTAATATAATTTGCACTACACCGAACCATTGCCATAAACACCTTAAGCGGAAGTCTCCAGGTCCTTCTTGAGGGTACCCATGAAGGCGCGCTTCTCCTCGGGGGTCTGGAAAGCACCGTGACCGAACTTGGAGGAGGTATCGATCCACTTGAGCTCGATCTTCTCGGTGGCCCTGCGGCTGGTCTGGGGGTACAGGGTCTTGCGGAGGGTCATGACACGCTTCTTAACACCGGGGACGGAACCCTTAAGGAGAACGAAGTCGTTCTTGACCTCACCGTAGTGAACGAAGCCACCCATGCTGGATTGTTTCGTTAGCGTCAATGCTTCTCAACCTTCAGGTATAGGCTACTTACGGGGTGATCTGCTTCTTGGAGATGTCGAACTCGGTGGAGGCGTTACCCTCGTCGGAACCCTTGCCAACACGGAAGACCTTGTGGTTGCAAGAGGTACGGTGGTGGTAACCCATCTGACCAGCACGGGCAACAGTCCACTGGACGTGGTTAGGGTGCCAGGCACCGATACAAGCGACCTTACGCAGACCCTTGTGAGTCTTACGGGGAAGCTTCTTGGTGCCCCAACGGCTGGTGACACCCTGGAAACCGTGACCCTTGGTGACGGCGATGACATCGATCATCTCGTCCTTCTCGAAGATGGAGTCGATCTCGATGGGCTTCTCGAACAGGTTGCGGGCGAAGTCAACCTTGTCGGCAACGGAGCCACCGTTGACCTGGATCTCCATCAAGTGGGCCTTCTTCTGCTTGAGGGGAGTCTTGCGGACTTGAGTGTGGGCGAGGACACGGACGACAGTGCAGTACTTCTTGATGCGCTCGAGCTCGCGGGTGATGGAAGCACCGTTCTCCTCGGCGTGCTTCTTGGCGTACTTGGTGAAAGCCTTCTTCTTGCTCTTGTACCAGTTCTTGTAGAAGCGGCGCTTGACCTCGTCGCTCAGGTGCTCAGCCCAGACGGTGGTGAGAGAGCGGAGACCACGGGGAGTCTCAATGTAACCGACAACACCGACAGCGACAAGCTAAAAATCGAAGTATGTCAGTCATTGAACGGATCCACATTACCAGGCCAGAGAGAAAAATGTTTTTTTCTTTCTGCCTTCTCCCTACCAAGGGGTCCAACGTACGGGAGGAGTCTCGATGACGGTAGCAGCCTCGACAACTTCCTTCTTGTGCATCTTGGCACCAGGACGGTCAAGGTCACGGACGACGGTGGTCATACCGGCCTTGTAGCCCATGGTGGCCGTCAGGTGGACGGGCTTCTTGGGGTCATCCTTGGGGAAGCTGCCGAACAGTTCAGTATATGTCCATCAAATCCCAACTTTTTCGTCTCGTCTTCGCAATCGAAAAAACTAACCTCTTGACCTTTCCGCGGTGGCGGGCGGCGCGCTTGCGGGGCAGGTAGGCAAGAGAGCCTGTCGAAATCCAAGTCAGTATACCATCCACACACAAGACCTCGAGATTCCAATATCGCTTGAGAGGTCGCAAAGTAGGTTGACGAACCGTGCCGAGGCGCTTCGTACTTCCGGTGACTCCTGTAAGATAAAATGAATCAGCGATATTATCCCTCGAGGTCAACAATTGCCATAATGCGGCAGGTCCTAACTTACATCTTGACCCTGTTGTCGTTAGTCGTCGAAGTGGTGAGTGAGAGTGTCTATCTCTGAGTTTGCCGAAAGTCGTATTTTGCACGCTTAACGAATGTGGGCTGATCTAAGCGAAGTCTTGGCGGCTATTTCCCATTCGGGTTAAGCGACCACGGGACCGAGACCTGAGTTCCTTTATGCCTTAGGCAGGAACAACCCACGGTCACGAGGTTCCTGCTGTCGGGCGAATCTCCCGGTCGGCAATATTACCAGATCCAGTGCCCTCTTCCAAGTGTATGCGCCATTGCCCTACTTAGGGTATTTTGCAGCGTGCCCATCCACAATGTTGGAAAGGCCATCCATGCACACTATATACACGATGTTTTTGCAGGAACCTACTGTTGTTTTCGTAGGCCAACGAAACACGGCAGGCTGCAAGGCTGTACGATCACTGACGGAAAACCGTTTGACCTGGATTTGACCCGACATCCACCGGAGTCCCAGACCCAGAATTAAACGCCCCCCTAAGGACCGTCCCCACGATTGAAACGCACGGTGAGACTTGGCGCTTAGTAGCCTCCGTCGATGCTCGCCGCGCCCATTACCAGCTTTCTGGTCTGGCTGATCTCCCAGTCTCACTGCAATCTACCTGTTTCAGCTACCTTTATCGTTGCTATACATGGGAGATAAATTATCATCGTTGGAAATGGAGTAGAATGTAGATCAATGTATTGGGGTTTCTGAGCTGACCAGGTGAGTATATCACCTAGCAGGATGTACTCATTCACAGACACGCACACAAAATAGAATAGAACTTGGGAAACAAATGACCATCAAGACCGCCCCTCAAATGCCAATCCTACAATACAAACAAGCCTGGGTGGTAAAACAGTACATGAACGGAACTGCCACCGAAAGTCGGAAAAGAAATATATAGACGAATTCAAGGAAACAGAAGGGGAGCAAACGAGGGCAGTGTAACTTCTCATGACGAAAACTTTCATTCGGACTCTTCCTTCCTTTGAGCCGCGTTAAACCCATCGATCCACCTCACATAATACATCAAGTGGTGCCGCACCACAAGCTTCTAAACCGCAGATTCCGGCTTCGCCGGCGTAGGTGGGTTGCCAGCACTCAGAACACCATTGCTGCCGTTGTTGCTCGACCCAGCAGCATGCGGGCTTCCCTTCACCACAGCACTAGCTCGTTTCTCATCATCGTCATCATCGTAGTTTTCGTCCACGTCCATCTTCCGCGCCGCAGGCTCATGTGCAGGCGCCTGTTCGCCGCGCGCGGGCTCCTCCTTCACCTGAACCTGAGCGGAAGAGGGTCCGGATGGCGGTCCGTTAGAAGGTGCAGCAGAGCTTTCGGCCATAGGAGGGAGACTGGGGCCAGACGGGTGAGAGGGCATGTGCTGGATAGAAGGCAACGTAGGAGGGTGGTGGGCCGCCTCAGACGGATGGTAGTTCTCGTTGACGCGGCGCTGGTCCTCACGGCGGATTTCCGAAGAACTGCGTCGCTGCATCTCCCCGGGGGAGGGCATGCGGTTGGGGGGAGTGACACGACGAGACAGCTGATCGTCGAGGCGAGCACGGCTCTCTTCATTGGCGATCTTCTTGGCCGGTCCGGCTTCCGCCTCCCACTCTCGGCCGCGCTTCATGGCTGAACCAGGACGTTCT